ATTGGATGTCAAAAAAGTTATTCAAATTTATTTTTAGAAAAATTTTTTGGTGATTTGTTGTTCAAATAAACTTCCATGCAGTAAAAAAAAAAAAAAATTCACTCGGTTTAAAATACGATGTAAACGGTTTGGATTATTTTTACTAACCGAAAAATTCTAGAGAGGGAGTTTTTGAGTTACTGCACGAGCGTGACCAACATATTTTGGGTATATTCCACTTATCGTAAACGTGTTTTTGATTGAAAATAAACATAATGAAGTAATTTGTTGGAAGTTGTTTTTCTAAACGAAAAAACGTCTCAAACAAAATACCGTCGTAGCAAAATCTGCGTCTTGGAAAAATCCGAAAAGTTTTACTCGCAAGAAACGAAAAAATAAACAACTACTACCCACGTCATAGTAAAAAAATAACTATTATTAAATAGGGCTCTTCGCATTATGCCTCATAGGGAATCTAAAAAAAATAAAAATAAACGAAAAATTACTCTTTATCCGGGTAACAACAAAACACAATAATATATATAATGATATTAATAAATAAATTGTAATATCACACGCGTATCGCGGTTTATATAACACGATTGAACTACGCATGTGATAACAATATACAGTGTGATACGCGTATTCGCGTCACGTCTGCGCGCGTCATTGTGTATAATGTATGTATCATATTACGATATTATTGCGCTTACACCCCTACAAGTGTGTTTTACTCACACACACACACACACACGCTTATACAAAAATATTATTTTGGTTTTTTTTTTTTTGGTTATTTCCCGAAGTCTATTTACATACGCTTAGTCTATACATCGGAAATTCGGTCAGCCACTACGATTATATTATATTATATACTCGCTGTATACAGTACATTATAATATTATAGCGGTCGACAGTAATAAACCTGCAGCTGCAGCTGTTGTGTTCCGGGGCCTCGTATACGCTATAACTTGTACATATACTCGTATATATGTATAGTCATATCGTTATTAATTTATTATAATATTATTATTACAATTTATAGATGAACCGCGCGTATACCGTATTATATTATACCTTACGTACCTCGGTTGCGCTATGCCGGTCCGCGGATGTAACGACTTCCTCGCGCGTTTTCCCGGACCGCAATATCCGCCGCCGCCGCCGTCGCCGCCGCACAATGGAAATTGTGTACAGGTATACGGGTACGGATGTCTATATTATTATAACCTATAACACGGAATAGAATTTTCGACATTGCCCACATCCCCGCACGTCGCTGTTTAGCACACAAGCAAAATGTCTCTGCGGTATACACGTATATTATACAACAATATACAGTATTGGTTGGTTGGTGTGTACGTTTTTTTGTTTTCGTAAATAAACGAAAAAAAAAAAATACGACCTTTCGTTTACGCCACGACCGAAAGGAGTTTGCGAATTCATTCGCTGCTCGCCTATTCGTATCGTCGAACAGTGTTGCGCGCGCATAAATAAATGAAAACACGACAACGACAAAACCGTTCGACTAGGACATTCTTGTATACGGCGATGAGGTTAGCGCCGAGCCAAGGATAATATTTTCGTTAAAAAGCAGCCGTAAATATATATATATATATATATAAATGTTATTCGGGAATGATCTTTTTTTTTTTCTCCGTAATATATTCTTTTGCTACCTGCCCGCCCGACGAAATCGTTGATATTCACGGCACAGTGACGCGAAAGGTTTAAACTTTTATGACTTAATTTCGTAGGTACTTTATACTCTCTCCCAGCGGACAAGATCAAATAAACGTATTATATAAATGTCACGTCCGTTCTAAACAATGTTTTACCATGTTCTGAGACAGGTGAGCAGATTACTCCGTCTACCGTTGCCATCGATGGGGTAAATCGTGATAAATAATTTCGATTTACAATCATATTGAAATTAAACAACACATTAGCGCTAGAATTCGGTCACCAGAGAAAAATAATAAGGGATTGAACAAAATAGACAATTTAGTTTGCAATAATATTACGACGGTGAAATCGAGCGTTGGACGTTTAAACGTCAAGGAAAATCCTCGACAACAATTCTAATTGTATAAACATATTTTAATCAAGTTACTTACTATAGTGAATCTGTAAGAGTAAAACCGCTATTTTTTTTTGCGAGTGCGTAAAATTTGAGTATAAAAATGGTTAGGTTAGGGCTACAGTGTCTATAGGAGTGTACAAACCTAAAAATCACCCTATCCTCTCGTAGCAACATCAAGAATTTTATACAAAAATTTGAACATAACTGTGACACCTTCAATCCACCCATAAAAAAAAAACCTCTTGTTCCCTTATTTGGGAGGGATTTTCTTCCAAAGCTTGCTGCTGAAAGTGTCCAAATGTACCAGGAAAAATGTATAACAGAAACAATAAAGTATTGTACAAATGGTCTAATATATAATAGTAAAAACGTTAATTTTTCGTTTACTCTTTATACATTTGTTATTATAATTAACGGCTGAAAGAACAGATGTCGGGGCTTAGTTTTTTTTTTTTTTTTTTTTTAATTTTAAGGTTTATCGAAAATTGCAGTATAAAAGTGATACACTTAAAATTTGGAAAGCATCATTTTTTATAGTTAGAATATTAATTATGAATGGTGAAATTTTATATGGTTTACCATCAAAATTGTTATATTAGGTAATTTACTCGCCCTCGATAATTTACGAGTTTTGATACTTAAACTACAATATTTGCTCGGAAAGCAATAACAACAAATCTTCAGTAAGAATATGAAAAAAAAAAAATATATAAATAAAAACGCGAGGCTATAACATAGCGGCAATTGGACACAATTTCCGTCTATACAAATCATTTACAAGATTTTATGTCCGTTGCTTATCAACTGCAGCGGTCGCAGTGTAATATTTCTATCGTTCACTCTGCTCATATTAAACCCGATCACGAAGTAGAGGAACTTTTTGGCTAAATACACAAATAAAAAAAAATATATGAAATCGAATAAGTGTAATCAACAAAAAATTACCCGTGAGAGTTCTGCTGCTCGCGAATTGTCACTGAGTTTACTACCCTAACTCTCCCTATTTACAATAATGGCATTTATATTATTTTACAAACAAATAACTGAACACTATAACCGTACAATACAATAATACTTCTCCCCAAAAAACTAGTGAAATTTGAGAATAAAAATAGCAGTATATGAGGGTCGAAAGTTGAAACGTTCAAAAAACAATCCATAATCAATAGACATTTTTCTCTCCCAGACTTTATTCGGAGAGCGTTTGAAGGGTTGTTAAATGCTACACAAATTATTCTTTTCCTGCAACAGCACGGTGAAGTTCATAATGAAATTCATCCCGATTTGCATAGCTCCTATCCGCCTATAGAAAAATATTGTAAATACCGAGTTTGTAATCAAATATAAATATGTTTTATTTCAATGAAAAATAGTTCAAATGAATTTTGTACATTTTTTTCTAGACTAAATTAAGTTTCGAAACATACTAAAAGATACATAATAGCGTAGCTGCTAAATGGTCTAATCTAAATAACATTCTAAATGACATAAGTTATATAATTTATCATTACCTTTTTTCAAAACAACAATAAACACCTAAGTAACTTTAGTTATTTTAACTTTATTTACCTATAGCATACAATGTGAGAATATACATATAAGTATGCCATTTATGCCAACAAATTAAAGAAAAACAATAAATTGTAAAAAACAAAATTGTGTAAAAAAAAAATGTTCAACAATTGACTATCTTCGAGGCTCTTTTTCTTGGGATCAAATCTATTTACAGACAACATGCAGTGCATTATTTTCTCTATTATCGTGGAATACTTAACAAAAATTTCAGAAGCAAAATACAAATTGTATTTATTATAGAACAAAGGTATGCGAAAACAAAAAATATTTTAAGAATTGAAATCTGCTTGATTATAAAATATAATTTCGTATTAACGGAATATTATTGTTATGGTTCAAAAACGATTACACTAGCGCTTTTACCGTTTCGATAATTTCACATGCACCAACAAATAATTTGTTTAACACTATACACTATTTCGGAGTTACCAAATCAACCCGTCAATGTAAATCTAGATTATAATTTCCATAACGAACACATGGTGGACGGCGCTATGCAAAATTATTTAATTAAAGAGAAACACGACACCCCGGATTGTGTGTACAAGTGAAAATGAGCTAACAACAAGTTAGGATAACATTAAAATATGTCCAACTCGAACCTGTGTAAAGACATTGCTTCCGTGTTGTTACAGTATTAAAACAACTTAAATTAAAGCTTAAACGAATTTAACACTTCGAAAAGTGCCGATTATTTGCAGTTCAGAATGAAAAACGAAACATATTCGGTTTTTAAAATCGATTTGTCAATAAAATCAGTTTAATAGTTATTACCGTATGCAAAAATTAGAGCATGTTTACTAGATACTTACTAGATGATTAGTAGATGAAAAATTGTTTTCTGAAAAAAATAAAATAAGACCGTTTTTTCAACAGAAACAGGGTTTTCCGAGGGAAAAAAAAAGAAAAACCAATTGATTTTTCATTACATTCTGGGGCAAAAATAATGATATTTGTAATTGTACACGATAATTTAAATATATTTCACATTGTCAAGTATTACAACGGTTATCAGGTATCAGCAAGCATTTATCATCATACTTATTTTAGACGCCCGGTTTTAAGATACAGAACAGTGAAAATAAGTCTTAGAAATAAATAAATACGGTCAATAGAGGGAGTTTCCCCCACCCCTCTCCTAGATACGCTCCCGCCAACAACAAATGACTTAAAATAAAAAAAATATCGATCATGACGATAATACCTTGTTCAATAAAATATTGGTATCAAAATCAAAATTCCAATGCGGCGGTGCGACTAGCATGTTATACAATATTACGGACAAATAGAAACGCTATCCGAGTGTGCCGATCTGACCTCGAGACTACTAACCTAACCTAAGATTAGTGTGCTCACGTCGTGCAGAGATAAATCGAGCGTCGTTACACGCGTTCAACGTATACCATCACCGTTCCGTGGAAATATTAGTCTGCAGGACCCGACGATATCGATTGCAACGTGATATTCGTAAGAACCGAGAACATTGTAAACAAATAAAATAGAAGGTCTAAAAAATGATCCGTTCCGATAAGTAAAATTTATTGGATCGACTACAATTGTATCGAAACATTATTGAAGGTTAGGTCCGTGGCTTATTATGATCGAATATGTTGATTACACTGGAACATTGTAGCCTCGTGTTGTATGTAAAGATATATTTGAAAATATTGAGATATCGATAGCCGAATGAATTTTTAGAATAATTATCTAGATGAAAAAAAAGATACATGAACAACGAAATTGTAAGGACAAGATGAAAGATAAAAAATATTTATACCCGTTCGGCCATCTGGGTACATTATCTAGATAAAACACAACACGGATTGAGACCCACCGTCGGTCTAACAATATAATATTATTATTGGGTTTTGGATCCGAGTTGACATAACAATATTATTGAAATGTTTTTCGTAATGAGCGCAGAAATAATAGAAATTCCAGGAGACTAACAGGTTTCGTAATAAATTTGAGTATGAGTGATCGAGAGAAATTTAAGAAGTATAAACTAATCTGACTGTGGTATATTAGACTTTATGCGTAGTAAAGAATTTATAGATTTTACAAATATGTTCTTTTGTATTTGTTGTGTCTATTACAACTTTTCCATCAAAATCTTATTTCAATCAAAAATTTCTTCAGACACCTTTTTTTTTTATAAAAAAATTTGAATTCGCACTCTTAGGTGTAATTAAGAGGTAATTTTTTAATTTTCTGTGTAGTTTTCTAAATATTAGGTAAAATCCAGCATTAACGGTTTCATTTTATTCGATTGTGTGTTATTTTTTTAATCCGGTTAAAAATATTTATAAAACTCTGAAACATGACATAAGTTTTTCCTGGACATAGTAAAGTATTCAAACTATTCTGGGGATAATTAAGTGGTTATAGAAGTTGAAATTTTAAATTTTTTTGGTTGTGATTTGGTATTATTTGGACAAAATTTCTCGTCCAAATGAAAATGATTGGAAATTCTATAAGAGGTAGATTATAAGTTGTATTGAGTGTTCAAATAAAGAAAATTGTGAAAAATGAAGTAAGTTGTTTTTATTTAAGTGGTATAAAATGAATTTTAAATTTTGGCATTTTGAAACAAATGTGACTTTGTTCATAATGTATAGTTTATCGTCACGTACAGTTATAAATTAAGTAACTCTTTATTCCCTAAATTTCGCATCTATAATAACGGCACACAGATAAACAGTATCAACTGTTTTGTTTTAAAAACATTTTTGAAGTATTATAAAACTTATAAAACGAACAATTACTGTATTTTCGTACAATTTTAATTCGATACACTTTTCAAATATTTCATCGTTTCGGTCGTTACAGTAGAGTTCACAGGGCGCGTACATATATAGTATATTGTTAAATCGTTTGCTCGTCTTGTATTTAATGAATAAAATAATATCCAATGGCTGCTCACAACTCGGTGTTGGTTTTCACTATAACAATCAGTCAGTGTTATTCCGCTTGAAAACGGTACATTAACACTCGATCGTTTACGCCCATTATCATTCATTATTAAAAGTCGTTTAAACAAAGTTAAAAGAACATTTCAATTCGACATCATAATATTGTAGTTTTTAGAATATTAAAAAGGCTGCAAGTTTCGACACCGCCGTATAAACGACGACGACGCGTATATGTTGTTTTTGAACGGTGTAATCCATTCAGACGGTTTTTTAAAAAACATGATAAGTGATATAATGACTTTTTCGGTTCATTTATTCGGTTTGTGGATTCTGTAGGAAATGTTTTGTTCCGTTAAGTGGCGGAAAATTATTTCCCGGTGGAAAACATGACAAACCAATATTTACCTTAGTGTGCCGTGTTTAACGTGATAATAAGTCATATTATTAAGATTTGTTTACAGGTATGTCAAATATTAAAATATTGATTAGGTATTGATTGTGGAAAAAGTGATGAACGATAAGATTTATTCTTGTGTTGGTACGACAAGAGGACTAGTTATAACAAATACTAATCATAAACTTAAAACGTTTTCGTATGTGCCATTTAATAATATGATAAGTCCGTCAGAACTATCCTAAAATAAATAATTTAAACCATATTGTTAAGGAAATAAAACATTTATTTTGCTTTTTGAAAAATATTCGAGTATAATTTTTAATAAATGTTTCGAAGAAAAAAAAAACCGATTGTGCACTTTTGCAATTTTTTGCTAGTTATTACATTTATGTGACGGAAAATATTCGTGTTAAACTCATTCGATTTCGAAAACAACGATAAACAGCACGTATCACAGACACACTTAGTTTCGTCGAAAAATTTGGCAATTTCTTATTATTTTTCGTGATCGGTTTCCCTTCGTTTGGTTTTAAACGATCAAATTTCTGTGAATTTAGGTCAAATAAAAAATAATAACAATACAGATTGAAATATTATTGATATTCATTGAAAATTGAAACAAAAACCACGAGTAAGTGGTGTATATAAAAAAAAAAAAAAAATAAAAAAATAAAAGAACCGACATAATACCGTTTACATCGATAAATTGAATATTAACATGGGTTTTAGATCAATAAAACACGATGGAGGATTTTGTGTATTACGTCGATTTTAGAATTTATCATGGTGATAAAGACATACAAAGATAGAGTGGATACGAATTTCCGGAAAAATCTGAAGGAACCGTATAATAATAAACGACAATAGTATTACCCGAAACTATGAAAAATCCATTTTATTACTGTGGGAAATATTATTGACTCAGGACGGGAAAACGGATATATTTTTATCACTGTCTCAACATTTATGTCCGATTCTTTCTTTTTGTTTTATATAACGCGTATATATATATATGTATAGTGTAACAGGACTATTTACCACATGAAATTACTTTTGTTCCATTTTATTCAATATTTTTAATTTATTTTTTTTGTAATGATTAGTAATTGCTTAAGTAAGATAACTGCACTACAATTAAAATTATAATTAGGTTTTGTGTTGTTGGGGGACTCAAAATACAAAAAATGGTAGCCCTTTTTTTAAAATAGACATTAAGAATATTTTTGTTAATTAAAACTTTTATTTAGTTATGGTTATTTGTTTTCTACTTTTTTAAAATTTAAATAATTTTTTTTTCAATCATAACAATTTAAATTATGAACTTAAATTACCATTCTTGATTTATTTTACTATTGTTTTTTTTTTTTTTTTTTATTTGTTATGCTCTGATTACTGATTAAATATTATGATAAAATATAAGCCATAACAAAATTCTCATTATCAAAAAAATCCAAAAAACTATAAAATATATATAATCATACCTTAATAAAAGTTTTTACCATCAAAATATTTCTAAAAATCTATTATACAAAACGACTGTCTTGAATTATTCTTAAAACAATTTAGTAAAATTATACTAGAGTTATAATAATCATTACAAAAAAAATTAAAATGAACAAAAGTTATTTTAAGAGGAAAATAGTCCTGTTACACCCTGTATATAATCCTGTAATCATTGTCCTTATAATAATAATATAATTTTATATATTATGTTTTATGCATTTATTTTTTCAACGGCGATATTATGGTAATGAACCTTCGGCCTGGCGTATCACCATCACCGCTTTCTAAGTAACGACGAGCACTATAAAGTCATTTTTGGATCCCCGGGAGAAAGAGAGAGATCGAAATAGAAAGACACAGAGAGAGAGAGAGAGAGAGAGAGAGAGAAGGAGAGAAATAGAAAGAGAATGAGAAAAAGAAAAATAGAAAGAGAGGGAGAGTCAGACAGACAAAGATAGTGTGTGCGAGAGAAAAAGTTGGGCATGCCATTGTGACGATTATGCGTTCCACTCGTCCACTGCCAGCCAGATCTCGGAGACCGATATTAAATCACGATAAAATCTTAAGTCTTTTACGACAGTCTATTAAACGATTTTGTCTCCACCCCGAAGGCCTCGTTCATTTTTTACATCCACAGAAATCGTTATTTTCCCCGTCTTTTTATACATTCGTCTACTGCCGCCACCGTCGTCGTCAGGCCATCCCACCCGAAATGGTACTTCTGCTGCTGCAGTACCCCTTCACTCGAATAGAGAAAACAAAGGGAAACGAAAATAATCAATACAGCACTCATTCCGTTCACAACTACTCACTCTTTGTCACGATATTATTATGTGTTTCGTTTATTTTAGCATCTGGTCGTACTCTGGGCGATTTCTCCGAATCCAAATGGACGTTGGAAGTAGAACAACAACATCTTTGAGCAACAATGCTCCGTCACCAGAATATTTAATTTTTTTTCCAGATTCTGTTATTTAAAAGAAATATTCTTTGCAAAACAGTTAATAACCGAATACTTTGAAAATATAATACCACACTACACTTCAATTACAATATTCAACAAAAAAAAAAATAAAAAAAAATAATAATAATTTCAACAATGAAAATGGTAGAATGGTAGAGGAGTTGTAATAAATCGAACCCCAAAAGTACACATTGATGTACTATAGTGCCATACATACACAAAATTTTATTCTCCTGGCTTCATTTGAAAGTCTGTATAATTTGGATGCACAAAGTTATAAAAGACCCTCTATCCAAAATAACATGATTATTATTGCTATTAAACTTTTATTTTTAATTCAATCCACTTACAAAACAATTAAAATTCCTAAATTTCATATAAGTCGGTTCAAAGAGAGCCACTCTAAGTTAATTATCATTAGTAGTGCAAGAAATACATATAGTCATATAGTTTTATAGATATCATGTGGAATTTTAACAGAATTTTTACAACGGCTTGCGAGTATATCGAATACTAGTTTTTAATTGTATAAAAATATAACTAATTTTTTACAAACACAACAAATAAATTTAGGAGAAAAAAAATTCAAATGAACAAATGCGTTTATTGTTTCATTAGAGTTGTAAGATAAAACTATGTTAAGTTAATTTATGATCGCATTTGAAGTTGCTTACCCTTATCTTTTACATAGGTATATTTCAAAAGTTGCCCAATATTCATAGTACGGAACGTTAGTCATTTGGCAAACCTAACTCGCACTTGAATGGTATTTAGTGTTGTTATGTGAAGTTACGTATCTGAAAATGAAAAAAGATACATGGAAAATTTAAAAAATTAATAGTATGACGACAACACACTAGAAAACCGTATTATTCATAATTAGAGAACGAATTTATAAGCACTAATATGATTATCAAAAACCCAAAAAATTCGGAATAAAATTTAAATTTTTTAAAAAAAGACTTTATAAAAATGTTCTCAATGACGATTCGATCGTTTTAAACAGCCGTACTATCTGGATATGCAGTTACAATTAAAAACGTTAGTACGTAGAAAAAATAATATAATATGTATAAATGTATGATGTAACATTTATCAATGGTGTTTTTTAACAAATGGTATTTTTTTTTTTTACAATTTCTCCGAAAAATCTCATCTGATATTAATAAAAGCTGTAGTGCACTATTGGTGACGGTTGTCGTTTTTCTTTTTTTCGAAGTGACGCATAATGTTCATTGAAATATCCAACGCCACGTTCGAATTGCATAAAATTAGAGACCGTACGCTCAACCGTTCGAAAATATTAGGCTTATCGATTTTGATTAAAAAAGGTATCGTGATTCGTAAATGTTATTGGCGAAAATATTGAAAAACGTGGGAAAAAATTAAAAAATCGTACGCACTAAACAATACGTTTTATAGACTCAATTCATAACAAATATCGCATAATATGAAGTTTTGCCACTACAGGTGAATGGAATATGGAACACTATTTTACGGCTTTCGGATAAAATATTATTATTATTATTGCGATTGTATCATATTCAATTGTCTCGCTAATTATTTAATATACCGCGAATTCGGCGACGCGAAGGTTAAAACGTTACGGAACGGAAACAACAATAGGTGGGTACCGTATTAGCACGCGATCTCATAATTGTGTAATTTATTTGTCGAGCAAATTGTTTAAGGTCGAATAGATAATATACTTCAGCATTATGATTATTATAATTATATTAAACGGTTTAGCTGAAAAATTCGTTGAAATGAACCTAGACGGCAGGCAATGGTTTTGAATAGTGTTTGTATAACCGTCCACGGCCGTCACGAAAAATGCTCGTTTTTATGACATAAATTATTAGGAATGATCCGAACGGTAACAAAATAATAACACTGCGATCGTCATCTTATTATTATAATAATTCGGTTTGGGTTTAGTCGACTGCGACGACCGAAAACTGCGGGATAAACTCGCATTACGCGGGAGTGCCGAAATTGCCTATACAAAGCGCCGCGTTAAATTTTTAATCAAATTTAGCATTTATTAATTAATTGAATTGAATTATTATACGAATGAACCTAATCGAATCAAAGTCGATTCACTGTTATCTTCAGTGTGCGTCAGTATTCCGTTGGATTATAATATTCCAATTCTAGGACCATACAATTTTTTTAAAATCGATTACCGATTCTTTTCGAACAAACTGGTGTAGGCTAACATAATATGTCTTTCAATTTTTTGTTTTTTAAATTTTGAATTCATATTTATATTATGCACTCATACTTATCTATGTAAAATTAAATTAAAAAAACAACAGTACAAATGAAATGACTTAGACGTATCGATTAAAAAAAAAAATATTTTTTTCATATTTTAATTGGGACGATATTCCTGTTGGATAAGTCATAGGCAACATGAAAAGGACCAATCTTAGGATAACCAATACATTTCTCAATACTATCAGGATCCGAAAAGTACATACCGTAGTTAAATTAATATATTTCTTGCTCCACTCAAAATGTAGAAAGCTCTCGTCAATGTAAAACACTCGTGCATTCAAAATCTAAAAAAAAATTATTAAAACACTCCTAAGACATACCTACTGGTTTTATTGTAATATCGTGCCATGGTTGACTGCGGACATAACAATCGAATACGTCCTTTGGTTTGAATCATCACCGTCATCATCCCCGTCGAAGCCGTCACAATACACAAACGATTTAGACCGTTTTCGGACGTCCGACTACAACGCAGTGTAATTGTAAAAAGGGTCAAGTGGCCTATTAGAGAAGCAATCGTTTGGACGGAATTCGACCGGAATCGACCTTACCGATATCTACCACGTAACAAAATACGGATCATGCATTACGGGAAGCGCGGTCGAAATACTCTCCTCGCGACGAGTTTTCACAAACCCTAGTGGGTATATTACAGTTAGCGTTTTTTTTTGTTGTTTTTGTTTTCATTGTTGATGGTTTTTTTTTCGTTCCGACCTTTCGTCCGATTCGATGAATACCGACTGATACGGGCAAATGACTATACCTACATTGATTGCATATACACACCTTTTTTTTATTTTACTTTTGACTGCTTTAGCAAAACAAATTAATTGTATCGCCACCGCCGTCATCGTTTACAGGTATGAAAACATCACCGCAATAATAAAAAATATAAATCCAAATAATTTTGCTTTAAACAAAAATATGCACAGGGCCGACTACATTTTACGAACATCTTTTTAAAAAGTAAACAACTACAATGCATTACATATTTTTAATTCTAAGAGTCATGACTATGCTATTGTAAATATAATTACTTTTAAAATTGCATGTATTTTAATTTTTTTTAAACGTTTTATGGTTAGTAAAAATGTTCCGTTTCTTAACGCTATACGATATACACGATATACGATATGCTTCGAATCTTTATTCGAAATTCCCGGTCAATGGTTATTTAAAACAAATTAAAAAAGTTTAAAACAGTTTGTATTCCATACGGGGGTTGTGGTATATCCATATCATCTACCTTTGATTCGATCTATATTATTTTTTTTCAAGATTTTAAAATTATCGTATATTGTATTTTACATCGTATTAGAAAATCTAAATTCACCTTAAAGACGTAACGCTGCAGACGGGTTTGATACTAATGGAAAAAAGACAATGCTTTAAACGGTACGAAATATCAATAAGGGTACCTGTAAACTGTTATCTATATTCTATTTTATCCGTAGCGAGCAGATTCCCAAAGTTTATCGCATTGGAAATTCAAAAGGAAAGGTGGACACAGAAAGCTACGTGGTCTCCGGTGTATATTTTAGCATAAATTTCCATAAACTAAAGAAAAATCATACGAAGATATATTTAAAAATATGGCTAAATAATTATATATTTCCTCGTCAAATTTGTATAAAATATTTGAAGACATCGCAAATTCCAGGTGAAATCAGATGTATTACCGTGTGATGGGGTTGCATCGTCTTCAAACTACTTCAACCCCCGTATAGTTTTTTTGTCGATTAGAGTCGTTGGACCGTAATACCGAGGCTCGTAGGCATAACAGTACACACACAAATGATAATGATAGTAATATTTATCGTGATGCTGTATCACATCCGGCGTGTACTTACATTACACCCAATGTAATATTAGAACACCTGACCGAGAATGGTGGTGAGGTGAAGGCGTGGAGGGTTGAATAATTGAATCGATACGGACCAACGAACACTACCGACGACGACGACGACGACGACGGTTACGACGACGGCGACGGCGTCGACGGTATTAGTTATATAGGTATGGTGGGTACCTATACAGGAACGGGGCACGCGACGTATAGGGGAGACATGCTATTATTTTCGTAATCGTAATATCCGTTAAAATATACCTAATATTAGTGTTTGCGAGTCGTTTGCTCGAGAATAGCAGCTGCTACCGAAACAAGACGCAGACGTAAACGAAACTGTTTGATTGCTTAGATACGCCGAAATTTATTTGTATACCCGTCCCATATTTCACAAATATAGCTCAACATGGGTAATGATGGTGTCACTAAGTATTCTCACAGTGTCCTTATAATCGATATTGAATCATCTGACAAAAAAAGATTAATTTTTTTAAAAACTTCTTGGTTTTTTCACCGGATTATCTGAACCCGTGGTTGCATTTCATACACGTTACTAGGTTTAGATTTACACTTGGAACACAAAATTCTACAGAATTTGAACAAACAGCTATTATGGTGATAAACACTTAATAAAAAAGTAACGTGATCATATTATTGAATCCGTTGAAATCGTATTATCGATTAAATAAATTTGTTAAAATCAATCTAAGATCTAAGAACTAGTAATATGCTTTTGTGCCTCATTTTGAATAGGCAACCTAAATACGCGAACGAATTAGGGGGTCTAATTATGATGTTATCCATCGACAAATTATTCCTTGAATAATATTTTATATAGCTGATCGAAAACCTATAATATACTCTAGTTTACCGATTTGAATTTTAGTATCGCTAATGGCCATACAATTTTCCTAAGTATCTATCTGTCAATAATTCGTATGTTTGGTTTTCATTAAAATTTTTACCAAACCTTTTAGATTCTGAGGAGATATGCAGCAAAGAAGCTGAAGAATATTTCCAAGCGTTTTTTAAAGAGTATTTTTTTCTAGGAAAACACTTTTTGAGTTAATAAAAATGATTTGATTAATTCATACCTCAAGGATTTTTTGCACGATAGTCCTTTAACTGACATTTTTTAAAGCATTTAAGAAAACAATTTAATAACTGACAACATATATACCGATACTTTGGTTTAATTTTTAGATAATTGTCATGGTTTAGAGAAAATATACTACTAACACTACACAATTAACAATTTAACGAGCTCTGCTAAGAATCGGGTTTTGACTTCAACTGTCGTTGTTTTATGTACATGAACTATATCACTAAATATTCTATACTTTTCAAACTCTCTATGCACAATAGTGGCCATGGCAAAATAAGAACCTATGATATAAATATTAAAATAATTTCAGTGTGATTTGGGAATTTTTTTCGAATATTAACTGCGTAACACAAACACGTTTTATTTTAGCACAGTGATCAATATGATAGTTACAAAAAAATAAATAAATGAACACTAAAAACGTATGATTAATCATAATTTTGCAATAACGGATTTCTGATAAATTCCTGATACTCAAAACAACCAAGGAGTTTACTGGTTGTGTGTGTTTATTGTCTAGTTTATGCCTTCAGTAGGACATATTATACTGACATATTTTAAAATGCATTACATTTTTATGTATTTTTATGTACCGTCATGATAAAATACCATGACGGTACATCAGTTATAGACAAATTCTACAGAGTCTGCCGGTTCAGACCTACAAATATCAAACATATGATGACTCGTCCGTAATATCTCGTCCGTAGAACGTTATATTTTAATATCTATAATAGAGGAGGGGGGAGGAAATGTTGAAACTTGAAATGTGTAGTGTGTTTTTTTATTTATATTACATATTTCCAGGTTCATTGGGTTACTCGAGAAAAGAAAGTCTTTAATTAAAATGTAGTTAACCTGGTGAAAACGGAATTCCATTCTAATAGTTTAGCGTTCATGAAGTACCTATTCAAACCTCTATTTATCCTCTATACCTGCAAAACTTAACGCAAAGTTTATGTACCGGCTGAGTTTATCTTTTCTCGAATTTGTCCACCTATTCGTTTTTCATCGACTATTTTACGCAAACCCGTTTAAAGGCGGTCGTTTAACCCATGTTCGCATCCGAGATCGCGAAATTATCAAAACCGAGAGCGGGAATATCACTGCGGTGTCGCAGTATTGCAGTGTGTGGCACACCGACAAACACCATCCATTTCACTATACGAATATCTTCCCTTCCACCACCACTATCTCTCCCTAATGTGTTGGAATTTCAGTTACGTCGTTCGAGCCGTACTCTAACGTCGTATGGAATGACGGCAACGGCGATTTTTGTTATTATTTTTTATTATTATTATTATTTTTTTTTTTTATATGTTCCATCTGACTACTACGTCGTCCTGTTTATCGGCACTACACGTCAACATGTCCACTGCGTTTAATATTATTATTTTATGTTTGTAGATTCGTAAACATCCCAAAAATGTTCAAAATGCGGCTGAAATTCCCGTATTATTTCATAGTATTAATATTATAACACCCACCGCACGATACAAAATTAGGTATTTCAATTATTACTATTCCGTGTGACCTAATTTCAGCTTTTTGAAAGTAAATACATTTATAAATAAAACAAATGCATAAATTAACGAAAGGATAAATAACCGGATTAATAACGTGCAATTGTAACAGGGTGGCTATAATTTTAAATACCATTAAAATTAAAATTAGCCCACGGCGTTTGTATAGTATCACGTTTACTGTTGGATTCGATTCGTTACTCTCAATCGTAGGTCAATGGACGACCACATTATTTATAATTTTTGTAGTCCTAACTTTGTTCATATTTGTACATAAATATTTCAATTTAACGCATTTGTGGAATACTATAATATATTAAAAACGGTGATGTAGTCTAATATTATTTTTTTTGGCGAGTATACCTTCGATTGAGAAGAAAAAACCAAAAAGTGTGTACGCTGTGTACCTACAGTACCGTACGTTTCTCTACACAAATGGTTATGAATAAAAAAAATAATAATACCTCCGAATTTACATTTTTATATGGTATTATTCGGTTATTTTTATGTTTCGTTAGTATTCCTAATACTGTTGCTGTATCGTATATAAATTCGTGTACCTATTATTATGTTCAACAAATACATAAACTACATGCATATATAAAATATCATTATTATTTGTACACACAATTTGAAAAGCCAATGTAAAATAAATAACGACGAGTGAAAATGGTTTGATTTCTTATATTATGCAAAGGGAGAATTATTAAAGGTATTGCAAACCTACGACGACGAACGAGAGTTTCCTTTTCACGATATATTCGCGTTTTACATTTTTAACAATCAATTCCGAGAAACGAACAACGGTAAGTCTAACAAAACCAAAAATAAATAAGTCGCAGCAGTTTATTTACATTCTTCATTGTGCAAAAGACCACATTGCGTTACTTTTGTTTGTAATAATATCATCGAAGCAGAAGTTCAAAAAATAATTTTTGAACTAATAAATTTATTATAAATATATATGTACAAATATAATGATGGAATAATTGATTATAAAGGCAAGCGTTGAAGGGATAAGAACAACATAGGATGACTTAGTCTGGAATATATCACGAATAACTTACTATATCATGAAAGATCAAAAATAAAATGCATGCTTACTATAACTGGAAGGAAAAGCAAACAACAGTAACAGATCGTGTAAAGCTACATTATTTATTACAAGAGATTTTGTTCAGATTCTCGAAAATTTAATTAAAATTTAATCACAAGCTGTTCTTATGGCACTGTAAAAATATCAACAATTTCCTTATAACCCGATTTGAGTAAAACCTCCATAGGTATTTTTCACATCTTCTCAACATAATCAAAAAATAGTTACACAGCCTTTGAAACTATTATTTTGTTCGATTTCCTATTTAGCAGATAACAGATGTCACAGTAACCGCCTCTATAGATCAAATGACTTAATATTATTTGCGTTTTTCGTGATGTGGTTATTACTTGTGTAAAACAGTTCAAGTTGAGAAAATTAAACTTATTTAATTATACTTGTTAGGTATGCGTTTATATATTATGGTTAGGGTTGTTTAATATTTAATTTATAATCCTTTAAATTATGATATTCTATTAAAAATCGATTTACTTTTTATGTTTACATATAAATGAATAATATCTAATGTTATGGAAATGTATGCTGATTTATGCGACTAATAGAACGATATGTCAAAATTATATCAAAGTTGATAAATAAATAAATCAGATTTCAGTTTAACTAAAGAATTAAATAAAATGAATATAATAGAACTGTTAGTGTTTTTATCTAGCGAAACCACAGCCGAGGGTACCGGCTAGGAATAATTTCTGGGGCAGTTTTCGGTGGTTTCCTAGAGGGGACTGATGGGACTTCTCTCCCCCTTCTCTGGGCAATTTAAATGGTACAGAACTCTCCGTGTCGCTTAATATTAATAGTGCCGTGGATTCCTGTGTGAAGCCAACATGTACAAATTCTCGTTAGAATGACGAGTGTCAAAACTTCCCCACCGAGGTTGTATCCGTCAAAAGATCAAGACTAAGGCTTTGACTTTCCGTGTGGTCGTTTGGGGGTCTTTTCGCGTTACCGACGGTTCGTAGCGTTAAATGTTTTCGGGCGGCTTACTTACCTCTGGTGACGGAGATTATGTTATCACTTGCGTTTTGGTAGACACCCGACTGCCTCCGGTGCGGACTGATCATCCACCTCGTTGGTGCCCGGCATATGGATGTGTCCAACCTTTGACATGTATGGAAAATAGTTTGGGTGGCCTTTGGAACCTCGGCATGGACCATTTCTCGGCGCCGAACGGAGGCTCGAGTGTCAGTCGCGGTTTCGTGCAGTGGTCGGTGCCTTGTAGTAGGATTCGGACGGGCTTATGAGTTTCGTTGGTTAGTGATTAAACAGCCAGGGGCTATCCACACGAAAGCGACTAAAACCGTAAGCAGACGGTATGTGAATTGGGTAGTGGTTAGTGGTACCACGCTCAGACGCGTCGATATGCATACGGGGCTCGCATGATCCCTCCGGGTCTCTTGAATAGCTACCCATAGCTAATATAAGGTACCCGGTAGTACCGTGATTTAAAAGCATGGATTAAATATCGGGTGCGCTGTATTTTTATCGTGGCCCAAGAATATTGGGCGATTAAAACTATTGTTCCTAAAACATAAATTATAGGTATCCTGTGAGATATCGCAATAATATTGAACAATTTTTTTTTCCAACGATAATATTATTTACAATATTGACTGCTATTGAATAATATATGGTGCGTGGAGACACCACGAGGTAGCTAATTATCTGTAACTTTGTCAATAAAAAATCGGAGAATTTTAGTACTTCAAAATTAGATTTTATTTCTGGAGTACCTTTTTTAACGAAACATTTTCACTATCGGTATATCGAGTTTTCTTTTTGACGCGACGTTAAATCGGTGAAACGTTTAACGTTAAATGTTTTTTTTTTTTTTTTTTTTTATTTATAATACGTTTTGAATAATTATTAAATCAAAAATATTATAATTGGATTACGTTATTAATGAAACCAAAAAATTTGGCACGACGAACAATAAATCGAAATGTCTGTACATTTTAGATAGATACAGAGAGAGTAAGAGAGAGCGAGTGAGTGATGGACAATTATCATCATTCTTTCATTCAGTTTGATTTATCATGAATTTTACTATAATTATCAACTGCAGAAACAAAAATTATATTAGGTAAAACGACATTTACTTTAATTCGTTTTTTTCCTTTTTTTTAAATTTTCACCTTTCAAAACAACGACGTTCCAAGTATGTTATAACAATAACGACATTTAGTCGGAAGGGCGTTGCCAGGAAATAAATCAAATATTATAACCGATTGCTAAAAGAACCTAAGTAAAAAGCAACATCATATAATAATTTGTCACTCTTAAAATGTATTGATATTTAATATTTTTATAAAAATAAAAAATATTATTTGTGAAATAATATAACGTGTACACGTAAAAAGAAAAAAAAACATTGTAAAGTATAATATCTACGATGAGTGTCGATTATACCTCTTAATTATATTTTTAAACGACTATTTCGATGAACAATCTTATGTGTTATGATTTGAAAAAAAATGTATAGATAAATTAATTGTTTAAATAATCAAATTCTAAATTATTTAATTTTTTTTTCTTATACCGTCACAAATAAACAGTTCTTGAAATTGAAATATAGCCTCCCAATACGAAACATCTACGTTTAGTACTCTATCAATTTTAATGTGCCACGTTAAATTGGTCGAGTATCATTACTATACCAAAAAAAAAAAAGGTTTTTCAAGAGTAAAAAAAAAAACTATCACTATATAACTAATAGCTTTTACCTTTTACTCAGAACCCAAAATTAGCAATACGTCTGCGGTTAACAAGATAAGAATTTATCGACAGTATCTATGATAATAAATGTATAGTTTGAACATCAATTGATCATTATAAAATATTCTTTTTAGAAATATTTTTAAGGAATTAATATCTGTGTACATTTTTGGCCGATTAAGACGCAACGGCCAAGCAAAAAGTTAGGAATTTTATCTAGTGGATTTCATTTCTATAAAAAGATTATAAAATTCTTAAGTTTTTTTTTTTTTAGTAGGTTGTGTAAAAACATAACATATATAAAATCAAAATTTTTTGGAAATCGTATGTAAAAACGTATTGATTGAATTTTTAGAAATTTTTCAAAAAATATACTTGAGTTTAATTATTTTTTTAAAGATATAGACAATTAAAATTTAAAAAAAAATATTAACGTTTCTCGATAAAGAATGTGAATAATAAAAATGCGTTTTTAAAACTAAAATTTGTCCAAAACAATTCGTACAGTTTGTCTACTTAGTGTCAAAATTCATATTTATCCCTATAGCTTCTATTCCTTAAATGAGTTTCGGTTAGTAGATTAATTGCGAACACACCATAAAAACGATAACGAAAACTAAAAAAAAAAAATTCAAATAATCAATTTGGTAAACCATCATCAATAAACCCCTTTGAATGGTGTATTACATTGATTGAAATCAATCATATCTAAATCAAAGAATGACGGCAATGTATGCATTTTTTTCTTATCGACTTTTCAATATTTTACTAACAATAGGTATTCGGAACCAGTCTACAGGTATACGGATATATATTTTGATATATTTTTACGCTGTTATTATGTTTACTATTTATATCCGTGTAATGCGGGTTTTTTTTTTTTATTTGTATGTGTGATAATGCGGGACATTTAATTAGTCATTTATAAAAATGGTAAAGAGTCTTTTATTTTTCTTGTTGTTGTTGAGTAAACGAGCAAAATAACTTCTATCGGTGCATATGGAATAACTAAAGTCATTTATGTCAGTCTATATGTAATTCCCGACCACTTCGTGTACGAGTGCATTCTCTACGCATAAATGGTCTAAAGTACATGCATATAGGTGTATAGAAGTGTTTGTAATTTATAGCGGCAAAAGTTTTCAAGGTGCACTCAGGGAATATTAAAATAGTGTAATATGCGAAAATAATAGCACCGCAAAAACATTAAACACTCGGTTTCGCCAATGACTGTTTCAATTGCGCGGTCAGCAGATTTACATCACTGTATAATATGTAGAACGGTTAGTATGGTTCCCGGTGGCCCATTGTACATTAATGTATAAATATTATATAAAGAAACGGTCTAATTAACACGCCTAAGAGAAACTATACTCTTCTCTGGTTAATATTTCCGTTAGAATGTATATTTTTGTTCGCGGACATGTTTTTTTTCGATAATTGTTAATTAAAAAAAAAAAAAAACCCGATTTTAGATTTTTAGTGTAGCGAAGAATGCAATGGTTTTTGAAAGATTTTTATTTTTAAAATTTTTTTTTATGTAAAAACTTTTTCTGCCAGAAACCTTACTCCAATGTAGACTCTTTTCTAGGAGGGAATTATATTGGGGTTGTTTTTTAAGGAGGAAATCGTTCGAATTTTCCAAGAGTTTTCCCGTCAAATGTGAAAAACCGGGAAAAAAAATTTAAAAAAAGGTAGGAAAAACGGGATCAATACAATCAATATAATCAATACAAAAATTCAATTGAATCAATTCAAACAAATATTATTAAAACAAATTTACAAGGGCTATTTAATTATTTTACCATAATATGACATATTTAAATATAGTTGACATTGTTGATAAAAAACCACTATAAATCGTTTTTAGTAAGCAATGGTTAATCGTTGCTTACAGATACGAATTAATTTCGCCTTTATATCCTGACTTCGCCATTGTGCGAAGAATGTCCTTTTTATGTACATTTTTCAAAACAATTGGCAACGTTTAATATAAAATATAATATTGGAACAACATGTTCGTACCTACTCAAATTCATGAAAATCGTTACCTGCATATCTACTTTTATAGCTATACGTAGCTATTTTGTTACAATTTCTAGCATTAATGCTACATAAATTAGCTTTATCTAATAGGTATGCGATTAAAGGACCGACATTAACACATTTGAATATATTTTATATTGCAATATAAATCTATTTTATACAGAATAAAAATATTTAATATTATGCATTTTATAAATATAATTATGCAATTTTGTACGAATCTTCAAAACAAAATCGCATTACCAATATTATAATATACATACAAATTGTTTCAAACTCTTCAGGTGTTAAATTCAAATTAAACCGTAAAAAACTAGTTTTGAAATTAATATCCAAGTATTTTTTATTTTGTCCACCTACTTATGTGAATTTTTTTTTTGTGTATAGCTAATGATATACTAAAAGCGTTAACAAAGCCTTTTATTATTAAGTACCGGTATAATCGTAACTACCTCGTAAAAAAGAAAAATCAATAGCTATACTATTTTACATAATCTAAAATCTTGTAGTTGAATTGATTCGAATAAATAAACTTGTATATTTACTTCATAAAATTAAATTTTATATTAATATTATTAATTTGCATTTCTTGATTATTTCTCAAGAAATAAACAAAAAATTGAGTAAAATTGAACGACATATAAATTAGTTGTAAAATATTAAAATTTAATGAAAATAAGAAGTACTACTCGTAGGATAATGGAGACGGGTGTGACCACTGTTTTAGGTAATTTAATGTATATTTTTAAGCAAAGACAAACCATTGCTAACGAAAAACTTATTCTGAGTGCAAATTGTTAAACTCCTGTTAAATTTTCAAGCATTTCTGTTAATTCTAACAAATTTACTACAGAGTAACTACCGAATAAAAATTTTGCACAAAACTTGCAAAATGTAAAATGTCTATAAATAGCTCAAAAATGGCATACATTTTTTTTAAATTTTACGTCTAGAAAAAGCTCATACAAATTTTCTGTCCCAATTTCAAGTCCATAGATTTTATATGAATATTTTTAACTAAATTACAACAAATAACAAAACTAATAAAATAATAAAAGCATCAATTTTGTACATATCCTGTTTTTCTTACGTTTATCATAGTTTTTCCCGTAAGTCCTAAAAACCGCTTAAAAAATTACAAAAAAAACTTCCCAGAATATCAGTCTGATAATATTTCCTTTCAGAAATGCCTTTATATCGGAGCAAGATTTTTAACCGAATTTATGTTAATAATATGAAAAAAAATATAAAAAAATACAAATAATAAACTTTTTATTAAAACCAATACTTTCTTCACTCCATTCAGAATTTAAAAAGAAAGTTTTTTTTATATATTATGTACTTACCTGCTTGACATACTTGGATACCCATTTCCAACTAGAAACCTAATACTGAAAAAAACTTTAATTTTAGTACCTATACTCATTTAAATATTCATATTCCGTAAATAAAATATATTATGTTGGTGATAAATTTAACACATTGATGGACATAACTGCTGTAGCAGTTATATTTAAAATGTTATATTATGTCAATACTACTGAAGCAGTATTCTTTTCAATGATATCAAACCATAGAAGACATTAGAATGTCATATTACCGTAGTCCACACTGACAGTTTACATCGATTTTAGATGTAAGTATAGCACTTCTAATATAACAGTAAAAATTATATTACAAGAAGTGTCCGTCAATGTGTTAAACAAATAGTGAAACTGAACAATACCATCGTCATCGTAATGTATTAAATTATATAAATAAAACTGATTTTATTTCAAAAGTTTGCTTCTTCAAATAATGTAATCAGGACAGGAATTGTATCGTATAGAATGTTGATGATCTGTATTAATATTTTATTTTATTATAATTTATTGATATTAACCGTTAACGGTCGAATTACTCCTAATCCGATCAAATATTGTTCTCGTGGTATGGTGGTGATGGATTCCTTGAACTGACAGTGGCTAGTGATTGAAAAGTTTCTATCTGTGCATCGCTATAGCTAATATTATGATACAGAGTAATTTCTTAAGTTTAACGTTCATATAACACATTCAAACATATTGTTCATATGCATGAATTGCCTGGGGAAAAATAAAATAAATTTGTTTTTTTTTTTTTTTCATGACGATAGTAGTATCGTACTATCTGTTTTGGCGTTAATCTACGGATAGAAATTGTTCGCAAGTGCCAAACGACAGTCTGTGATTTTGAAACGTAATTAATTTATACTCTTGTTAATCAACGACTTGATATTTTTGAAATAACGACCTTTTAAAATCGACCATTTAAGACTCCGTACCCTACGGTGACCTTTCCTAATGGAAAAAGGCGTAGCCTCTTGTGTATGTTAATTGTTTGAGGGATAAAACAAAACGAAAGTAATTACACTTAACCGAAGCGAGGCCTTAAACAAAAATCCACTGCCTTAACGTAAAAAAAAACCCTAAGTTATTATTGTAGCTGTTGACAATTTTTATAAAATACGGTTTAAGTAGAATTTAATTGCGGGAGAAGAAAAAAAAAAAAACATTATTTTTCTTACATTCCATATTGCGGTCTGTAATTTATATGTCAACGTAAATTGGAACTCTGCATTCATATTAAACACTATATTTACACGGAAAACTTTATAATAAACTGACACATGTTTGCACGTATATTATTGGTAGGTAGAAATGTACATAAGTTTACGCTATGTAGGGTTTGTATAAAATAGAATACAAGAGAATGTAACCCAGGGAGTTCCAACCCTTAATATAATACGTGTATCGTAATAATCTGATTCGTATTCATATTAAAAAATGGTTTTTTTTTTTTTATTATTAATCTAATATTTTTAGACACTGGGCGATTTATAAGCTATTCCCTAGGAATTGATTGTTTTACAAAATATGTTTTTTTTTTTTTTTTAAAATCATTTTTCGTTCAGAAATTTTGATTCAATCATTAATAGCAGTGGTTTTTTCAAGTAGTGAATTTAATTCTAGTTCGTGCATTAATACGATCATTTTTTTGTTTCATTTTTAGTTTTAGTGTTCATATTCAGAACAAAAATAAACGAGAATATTTACAATATATAAGTTTCGGTGAATTTTTATTTTGCTTTTTTTGTTAATTCAGTGAAAAATAATCGCAAGAGTTGATATTTTCATCGGATATTGACACCATTTAGACGTGGTTAAATTTGTACGGTTTTTTTTTCTTTTATTTTTTAACTTATTTATAGCTATACTAAATCAAAGAGTTTTCTTTTTCTCTTTTCTGTTTGGTTTTATGGAAATAGAAATTGTGTAATTGATTTCTATCAGCGTTTAAAACATTTTAAATTTAAGTCTATCAAAACGTATCTAACCGAACATTTATGATTTATCATTTTTTTTATTAAGCAATGATATATCATTCCGTAAATAATAATACCGTTAATTTCCTTCCTTACTAACGTCCCACCTACAGCATTGGCCTACACTTATGTGCAGTAAAACTGCCTTTTTTTTCTTGTTATGTATATCGATTTCTACATATTATGTACAAATATTTAAAAGATAATTTTCTTGTTTTTATATTAACCACTAGAAAGATGAAAAAAAAATTGTTGTCAACATCCCTAAAAATTAATTCACTATTATGTGTATTCAATTTTGTATGGTACAATATTTTTTTTTAACCGATTGAAAGAATTAATTTTCTAAACACAAAGCGGATATTACTTAGCCGTATAATATTATTAAGTCTATACTCCTTCACCAACTACCGTAGCCAAGTAAATTAACATATTATAATTATTATTCTCCGAAAACTTTTTTACCGCTATTAAATTGCATGTAGAATAATAAATTATTTTGTTCTAAAATGTTTTAAACTGAAAATTAAATTGACCTATGTATTTTTATAATAAAACCTTCGTCTCTAATTACCACGCAGGTGTTAAATAAATCATGTCCCACGAGTGTTCTGTCGGCGCCATATAAGATACCTAATATTATGGAAAACTCTACCGTAGTCGTGTTTTTTAAGTGCACTGAAGTGCCAATTCGTAAATTATTCATTAGTTATCCATATTTTGTACTGTCAAGATTATTTTTTTATCGTTCAGGTTTTAAGATTCCAGGTAAACAAATATATGTATTCATTTGATGACATCAGTGCCACGTGATCAATTAAAATCCTGGGCAACAATGAGCGTTCGCCAGCATTTGTTTCGGTTAATAATTTAGCTTGATTATTATAAAAGTTTTTAGGTACTCTATAATCACAGTATTGTAAAAAGATACATTTTAAAATGTCTTGATAACGATAGTTAATCGGACATTTTTTCAATTTTTGTAAATAATTTATATTCATGAAACATTGGGTAAAAAGTATTAAACGTGTACCGAATTGAATAGAAGTCCAAATGGCATAAACGTTACATGATTGATGTAGGTAATTTAATAGTAAATTTATCAAGCCAAAACCATTTAAATTAAATATTTTACTTATTAGTTTTAATAAATTTATAAATGTTGACATACAATGATTTATCTGATGATTTAATAACTCAAATCATATATTATGACTTATATCTCTATTTTTTCCAGATGATATAAAAGATTATTAAAATACAAACTAAAATTACTAAAAGTAATTCTCCAAAAGTTACAGTTCTATGACTATTCCAATTGAAGTGGATTTTTTTAGTACAGAAGGTTTCGTAAGCTCAGCCTTTTTTTTTTTTTTTTTGTTTTTTTTATTGTTTTAATTTAATCGCATTTTATTCGTGGTTTTTTGTCTCACCACTGTGAACTGCGTGTACTATATTTATATAGCTTGTAGTCCGTTTCGGTTTTCGCAATAACGTGGTTTTATCGTTTTTAGAGAATGTAATCTCGGTCTAACAAACGTGCTAAATAACGTTACTTTTAGAACATAAATTAAGTAATCAGCTTAAAATTAAACCGAGGAAATTATTTTCTAGGGCTGTATTTTTCTAAAATATTATCAAACCAAAAGTTACAGAAGTATAAAGAAAAAAATAAAGCAAAATTCAAACGGCTGTGATTTAATCGTTTAACGGCATTTTAGAAAAACAGCATCACGTAATGGCTTCGACAATATTTTCCCCTAAACATTTCGTTATTTGCCTTTAAATTTTAATTTCAACCAATACGCCACCGTTTAAATATTAAGTAACGTGATTTAGATACTGAGACATTGAATGCAGGTATCGGATTCTCTCAAAGACGAATTTTCCGTGGTACCACGATTTACCGTAAAATATTATAATAAATAAATAAATGCCACCCCGATAAACACGGAAATTGTTGGCGCAACGTGAAATTCGACTCTCCATAAGCACGTGCTATTTGACAGCGGTTGACGGGTGGAAGAATGAAGGGAGAATAAAAAATAGGTACTACCCGAGTGCTATGTCCTATGAGACCTTTGGCAGCCTTTTTTCGTGCAGTCTCGGGAACGATTGGCTCGCGGCGCCGACAAGCAATCGCTTTGACTTCGACCGTGGCCACCCGAACACCGTCGGTTTTCATTCCCTCGTCATTTATTATCTCCGAAAAATAATGCACCACTTTTATATAGATTCCCGTCTGGGGAAACGCGTTGCATTACGACGTTTGCGACCGATTCGAATGGCTTTAATACCGTTTAATACAACGCATATATTTATTATCAGTATTACATTTATATATACAATACATACAATACAATACATTTATATATATACATACGAAACCTAACGTAACCTAACCTACATACGGAGTGACGTATAAAAATAATTGTTAAAATATCAAGACGGAGATGGAAAATAATTTATCATCAGAATTATTGTCTAGATGTGAAGCTAAAAGACAAATAAATGATTTAGATAAATATAAAAAAAAATATAAACATACTTTGAATTATCGGTAGATCACTGTTGTAGGTGAAAAGTTTTAAAATTCAGTTTTATGAACTTGATCATGATTTCGGTCGAAATTTATATACAAAACAAAATTGTATTGTACATTATACAATATTTTTTTTTTTTTTTGACTACTTAGTATGAATTATAATGAACCTCTTGATTAATATTCAAGCATTCTGTTTAATCTAACAATTTTATATACAGAGTAACTCCCGAATGAAAGTTACGTAAAAAAAATCGCAAAATTAAAATGTCAATTAATAGCTCAAAAATGGCTAAAATGTTTTTGAAAATTTGATTTCATCTTTAAAATGAAAATATTAATTTTCTCCTCAAATTCCGAATTCCTAAAAATATTTAAAACAGAATCATTTTTTTTATAACATATAGTACGTTTAAGTTTTAAACGCAGTAAAAGTTTACCATAAAACAGGTACACATCTAGTTATCAAAAAATCAGTGTGATTAATGCACTTTTATAATTTATTTCTGAAGCCATAAATTAATGCATACAATATATTTAATGTTTTAATTATTATTTTTAATAAATATAGAATTATTACGATTCAGACGATCTTTCAAATAATTGTATTATTTATTTGGAATTCCGAATGTAAAACTAAAATCTCAATTATCTAGATAAGGTAAAAGATAATAAAATGGTCACATATTAACTCATAAAAGAATAACATTTTTATCTGAATTTTAATGATAGTATAGTCTCCTAGCACAGGCTTTTTTTTCTGCCCCAAATAAATTTTATGATCTTCTATGCAGACATTATTATTTTTGATCATAAATTAATTAATTATAATTATAAATAATTATTTTGCTTTAAATTGAATATTGGATATTGGATATTATGTACTATTGAACTATGTCTTATAAAAATACCTGATTTAATATTTTTTTCAGACTTTCTTTAGTTTAAGGAAATAAAATAAAGTTTAAAATATTAAATTTAATCTCTAATACTATTCTGTGTAAGAGTTCACATTATGTCTATGAAGAAGATTATCTAATTTTGTGGGAGTCTACATTGTCCTACAAACATATAAATCCAGATAATTTTTCTAGATAAAACACAACAGTGTACATTTTAAAGAATTTGTTTTAGTACAACAAAATAAAAAAATAATAATAATAAAAATCCTCCAAAGAGTTTTAGGAATACCTACTAGAAATTCGATCCAGTAAAATTTAATCTTGAATACAAATATTATTAAGATTTTAATCATGAATACTAACATATTTTATTTAACGAGTATATTATGATATTATAATATACAACATATATTATACCACTTATCATCGATTTTAAAATGTATAAATTCGTAATTATGGTTCCTTGTGTTCCAATTCACATTTTAACGCGTTCAAAAACATAAACTCGTTATTATTATATAGGTTCCATTCCGATTATGTAGTAAAAAACAAGCAAGTCTAAATAAATATCACTATACTCATAAATATGTTTCAAAAACAACTGAATTCAGACACTTGCAATTTCACACAAAGGTTTCTCATATATTTACTAAACAAATACAATAAAATGGTATTCGACAAAAAAAAGATAACTAAAGAAGAGCTTATGGACGAAAAAATATTATTTTTTTGATTTACGCATGTTTACATTTGCATGGTGAACGTTTAATCCAACTTCGTAATTGTTTTAATCTGAATACTTTTAACAACTCGAAAAATAATATAATTATTTTACGTTATTATTGATAATCATACGATGATAATAAATGCCGTGACTTATAATTTCGCGTCTATTGCGATAGTAACTGTTATAAAGACGGCATATACACTGTAAAAGCTACATAATAAAATAATAGAAAGAATTTGATTACAAATTTCTATGAGTTAGTAAGACACAACAGTTAAATAAATCTATAG